GCCTTATACTTGCCAGGCTGATGTTTTACCACTCAAGCCACACCTCCCACCCAGCTTTTTGTGTGATTAATTGGAGTTGGAATCTCATGGATTTTTCTGCAAGGCTAGCCTCAAATCTTCCAGACCACAGCCTCCTGAGAGGCGAGGATCACAGGCATGAGACACTGATGCACACAGTTCACTAAGTTTTTTAATTGGTTTTGGGACTTGAACTCTGGGCCGGGGCATTGTCCCTGAGCTCTTCAGCTCAAGGTGAATACTCTACCACTTGAGCCACAGTGCCACTTCCAGTTTTCTGGCAATTTATTGGAGATAAAAGTCTCACGGACTTTCCTGCCTGGGCTGGCTTTGAATTGTGATCCTCAGATCTCAGCTTCCTGAGTAGCAAGGATTACATGTGTGAACCATTGATATCCATCCTCACTAAGTTTTGTTTAATTTTTAATTATTTTTGGCAACACAAGTTTGAATTTATTTTACTGCAAACAGCAAAGAAAATTTAACTGTCTTCTCCACTATAAAATAGTTTTTAGTTGTTGGTGGTGGTGGTGGTAGTAGTGGTGGTGGTAGTGGTGTGTGTGTGTGTGTGTGTGTGTGTGTGTATGTGTATGCATGCAAGTCCTGATGCTGGAATTCAGGCCTTGGGAACTGTCCCTTATCTTTTGTGCCCAAGACTAGAGCTCTACCACTTTGAGCCACAGCTCCAATTCTGGCATTTTGGTAATTAATTGGAGGTAAGAGTCTCACAGACTTTCCTGCCTGGGCTAGCTTTGGACCACAGCCCTCAGATGTCAGCCTTCTGAGTAGCTAGGATTAGAGGTGTGAGCCACCAGGGACCAGCTTAGTTGGTATTTTCAACTTTTAACATTTAACAAAGTACATGGGAAGGTACCATATGAGAAAGCCAATAGGTCTGGGAAACAGTCCAAGAAATTATAAACTTTTTTGTTTTATGGATAGATGATATAGACAAGTTTTCTTGAAGAAGAAATAAGAATCACTGGATCTTGACTGTAATATTTCATTTTTAAGGCTGGGCCAAAGGATTTCTCCTGAGCAGCTTAGTTTTACTAGTAGCCTTTATAGACATTTTAATTCAGTGAAAAACTTGTGGCTGTGCCCCAGTTCATCAGACATTAAGAAACCATGACTACATCTCTGTGGTCTGGATCTGCACTGCTTCAACTTGAATTTAAGAAATATTATCTTGTAGAAATCATCTTGTTATTTTTTGTTGTTGTTTTTGCTTTTTGTAAGAGGTTTTTTTATCCCTTGAGATTGTAATGAACATGGTGACACTACAAATAGTCAGAGGTAGGACAGAATCCACTGAAGTCTGCTTTGGTCATTTGGAACAATATGTAGAAAAATATAAAATGTAAATAAAAAACAATCTTATTCTGAGCATTTCAGTAACTTTTTTGTGTATATATTCTTAGCTGTACTATAAAGTAGTTCACTTATATAAGATAGTTAAAAAGGCAAAAGACAAAAAAGGATTCTTTTTCCCCCTTTTTTTGTCTATGATGTTGCTGAGTTTTTTTTTTGGGGGGGGAGAGCAGGAGGAGTGACCTGTTTGATGTGTATATGAAACAAAGTTTGTTCAATAAACCGGAATTTCATTTTGCTGAATTGTTCTAAAAAAATCAGCTGTTAAATACTAATTCTGATTCACTGAGTCTGGGGTAAGGCTGAAGTTCTGCATTCTTAAGAAGTTCCCAGGAAATGTTGGTGTTGCTGGTCCCTAGAAACCCCTTTCAGCTGCAAGGGCTGGAGAACATAGGTACAGTGAGGATACAAAGAAAAAGTGGAGAACAAGCAGCTAGAGGTCAGAGGAATTAAGGCCTATCACTAGGGCAGGTCCTTTTATGCTCTTATGTGCTCCTATTTGTCACTTCCTATGAGGAGAAGGTTGAAAGGTTCTGAGTAAAGCCCAGTTTCAAATCCCCCCCCCCCCGCTTTTTCCTTTCAGAGATAGATGGGAAGGGCCAAGTATAGAAACTTTTTTAATTTGTTTCCTCAAGTATCGATGATATTTAACCACAAAGAATTTGTTTGTGAGCTGGGCCCTGGTGGCAGAGGCCTGTAATCATAGCTACTCAGGAGGCTGAGATCTGAGGATTGCAGTTTGAAGCCAGCCTGGACAGAAAAGTGTGTTAATCAGTAAAAAGCTAGAAGCAGGGCTATGGCTCATGTGGTAAAGTATCAACCTTGAGCAAAAAAGCTAAAGAATAGCACCCAGTCTTGAGTTCAAATCCCAGTGCTGGCACACACATTACTCTTCACAAGTCCCATGCAGTTCCCTATTTTATCAATGAGAAAACTGTATAGATCAGTTAATGTATACACTCCAAATTCTAATCCATGATAACCTGGCTGCCTTTTAAAATAAGATATAAGAAGCCACGATGTAGCTCAGCAGTACATGCTTAGCATGTGCAAGGTCCTATATTCAATTTCCAGCACCAAAACTATAATAAATAAGTAAACAAAATAAAGACTTGGGTGAAAGGGTTATATATCCCATTTGGCAATTAATTCAAGTGGAGATATCTCTGCTTACTGGCTTGTCATAAAAATTACAACTCAAAAAAATTATAACTCATAGAATATGGTTTATCTGATTCCTGACAATTGGTTTAACTTAAATATAATTACTCACTTATTTTTGCCTATTTATAACTAGGAGAAAGAAATCTGTCCTTTGTCCATTATTAGTGAGGTCAATACTTTATATGAAAGTAGAGTATGTCCAGTACAAGGGAGGAACCAAATTTGTTTATTACATCAGCTCACTGGAACCAGACCTGGGAGTTGTATTTTAACCTCTCACATTACTGGCTCCTGTCTCCAGCTTTGGAATATCCTGGGTCTGACTCACTTACCTCTCTTTGTTGTCTCTGTTATTATTAGGATAGTGAAGCCCAAAGTGGCCTCCATGGAGGAGATGGCCACCTTTTACACTGATGCCTACCTACAGCATCTCCAGAAGATCAGCCAAGAAGGGGACGAGGATCATCCCGACTCCATAGAATATGGACTAGGTAACATCTTTCCCAGGCAATGATGGGAGACTTAACAGCCCCC